ATAGATTAAATAGCCATAGTCAAGTAGAGAATTAGTAAATTGAAATTCACCCTGAATGAGCATAGGAAAGCAAAAAGATTTTCCAAGAAAATGAAAAAGCTTTAAAAAGGCATGAAGCTCTAGCCTATATTTAATAGGCATTTCAGAGAGAGAGAGAGAGAATAGAGAAATGGTGCAGAAATTATATATAAAGAGATAATGGATGATAATTTTTCAGAATTTGAGAAAAACAAGGATCTTCAGATCAAAAATACACTTTTAGTACTAAACAGGGTAAATGAAAAGAAACCCATAGATTTCAAAACTGAAACAAGAAACAACCCAACTTACAAGTTGCCAAAGAGAAAGCCAGCCTGCTATCAGTACCATTGTTGCTCTCTTGAAGTAGACTTCTTATCTGCAACAATATGCAGAAAATAAGGGAGGAGTGATTTGGAGTAATAGCCATGAAAGGGTAAGAGGAAAAATAAATGTTACCCTAGAATTTTATACTTGTCTAAATAATCATTCTAGAGGGAAGGCAAAATAAAAACATTTCACATATATAAACATGACTATCATTTACTACTAACCTACCCACATTAAAAAAAAAGCTATTCAAATATGTATTTCCATAAGATGCAGAGTAAACTCAGGGAGAGAAGCACTGGGATATAAAAGGGACAGTGAAAAGCAAGAAGTGGATAAAATGTGTTGGAAAGTTAATTATTGATCGTAAAAATAATAAACATTTTATATTAAATGCTACAATTTTAGTCAAGAGTAATAAGATAGAAGAAGTTTTCAGTGGTTAAAGGTTTTTTTCTTGTTCAGAGGAAGGTAGAGATGGGGAATAACAGATGGTTAGAAAGATTTATAGGAAAGTATGTATGTTAAATTTCTAAATGGAATCATGAAAACAGTAGAACTATAATCTTATAAATTTGAAACCAGCATGGGCGTGGGGTGAGAGGAGGATATAGAAAACTTTATAAATCTAACAGATGGCAAGAAAGGCAAAAGAAAAATAAAAGCAAAGGAAAAAAAGGATGGTAAACCAAAGTCAGACAATAAGGTGGCAGAAGTCTAAATCAGGTAACCAAGTAGTCAGGTTTCATGGTGTTGCCTATCATTTATATATACTCATATTCTAAATATGTAGAAATGGTTCATTTCCATTTATTTCATCATTTCCACCTCTGTATAAAATAAAATCAATATTCCCTTGATTCCATTCTCTTTTCCAGCTCTTACTGAAAGTCCAGATATTGCTTTCATTCCTCATCTTCCATTCTCACCTCAACCTGTTGCTCCGTCCCTACTCTTCCTGCTGAAACTGCTGTTGTCAGAAGGTTGCCAGTGTCTTCATGTTCTGATCCAGTTTTCACTTCTATCCTCTTTTCCCAAAAATACACAAATATCTACTTATAAATCAATTATCATTTTAAACATAGAGATAATGTAGGAAAGTGGTTGAAAGAGGAGACTAATCGAAATGACTTGGGTTTCAATCCTGACTGTGCTTCCATGTTTAAAATACTAGCTGTGTGACTTTGAGGAAAGTTCCAAAACTTCCTGAATAAGATGAAGTTAATAATAGTCCTTACCTCAGAGCAGTTTTGTGAGGATTAAATGAAATAATGCATGTAAAACACATAGTGTACTGTATGTGGCACATGGTAAATACTTAGCAAATGTTAGCTATTGTTAATAAGCTTCAAAATGTTATATTGTTGAATGAACATATAAATATAATAAGAGAAAAGGTTTTAAGGGTGAGATTTTTATTACAAAATATTTGATACATATAAAAGAATACATGCTATGTATATGTAAGTTAGAAAGCATAATAAAATCAACGCCTGGGAATTTACCACCTAACCTGAGAACCTTGCGTTTTTGTTTTTTTTTTTAACTTTTTATTTTATTTATTTATTTATTGTTTATTTGGCTATGTTGGGTATTCGTTGCTGCATGCGGGCTTTCTCTAGTTGTGGCGAGCAGGGGCTACTCTTCGTTGCAGTATGTGGGCTTCTCATTGCGGTGACTTCTCGTTGCGGAGCACGGGCTCTAGTCACGCGGGATTCAGTAGTTGTGGCACACAGGCTCAGTAGTTGTGGCTTGTGGGGTCTAGAGCACAGGCTCAGTAGTTGTGGTGCATGGGTTTAGTTGCTCCGCGGCATGTGGGATCTTCCCGGACCAGGGCTTGAACCCATGTCCCCTGCATTGGCAGGCGGATTCTTGTTTTTCTTTTTTTTTTTTTTTGGCGGTACGTGGACCTCTCACTGTTGTGGCCTTTCCCGTTGCGGAGCACTGGCTCCGGACGCGCAGGCTCAGCGGCCATGGCTCATGGGCCCTGCCGCTCTGCGGCATGTGGGATCTTCCCGGACTGGGGCACGAACCCGTGTCCCCTGCATCGGCACACAGACTCCCAACCACTGCACCACCAGGGAAGCCTGAACCTTGCATTCTTGATCACATTCTTGTGATCTTTAATTCTTCTCACAGTCCCTTTCACCCTATGTATCCATGTGAGTATCCTGAATTTTGTGTTTCAGTCTCTTGATTTTAAAAAAAGAAAAAACAAGGAATAGATTTAGACACTTGTATATATCCCTAATTGTTTAGTTTAGCTTATTTTTGTACTTTATTGTGATAGTTTATTGTATGTATTATTTTGTGATTTACTTTTTTCATTAAAATTGTTTGCTATGATATATCTTCATGGTGTATGTGTCTAGTTCATTAATTTTTATGGAGATAATTATAGCATGTACTTTTGGGGGCTGTTGTGTGAATTGAGTTGATGCATGTAAAGTGCTTAGGATAGTGCTTGCTCAAAGAAGGATAGCCATTATGTTTATTCTTCTTCACTGCTGTGTGAATTTTTTTTTTTTTTAATTGGAGTGTAGTTGCTTTACACTGCTGTGTCAGTTTCTGCTGTGTAACAAAGTGAATCAGCCATACATATGCATATATCCCCTCTTTTTTGGGTTTCTTTCCCATTTAGGTCACCACAGAGCACCGAGTAGAGTCCCCAGTGCTGTACAGTCGGTTCTCATTAGTTACCTATTTTATACATAATAGTGTATATATGTCAATCCCAATCTCCCAATTCATCCCCCAACCCCCATGAAATGTTGTATGAATATAACATGGTTTTTTTATCTGTTCTCATGCTGATGGACATTTGGGTTGTTTCCAGTTTGAAACAACAGAATGCAGTACTGCTTTGAACGAATGTTCATATACCTCTCTCCTTGTACCCTTGTACAAGTTTTTGTGTGCCAAGTATATTGACCTAGAAGTAGAATTGCTAGGTAATAGGTTATGCTTGTGTTCAACTTTATTAGATAATGCCAACTTGTTTACCAAGGTAATTGTGCTTGTTTATATTTCTACCAGCAGTGTATGAGTTCCCGTTGCTCCATACCCTTGCCAACATTAGGTATTATCATAGTTTTTTATTTTTTGTAATCTGATGGCTGTAAAACAGCATCTTGTGATTTCAGTTGGATTCTGTTAATAACGAGACTGTCATCTCTTTTTTTTTTTTTTTTTTTTTGTGGTATGCGGGCCTCTCACTGTTGTGGCCTCTCCCATTGCGGAGCACAGGCTCTGGACGCACAGGCTCCGCGGCCATGGCTCACGGGCCTAGCCGCTCCGCGGCATGTGGGATCTTCCTGGACGGGGGCACAAACCCGTGTCCCCTGCATCGGCAGACAGACTCTCAACCACTGCGCCACCAGGGAAGCCCGAGGCTATCATCTCTTCAGGCTATCATCTCTTCATATGTTTATTGGTTATTTGTATTTCCTTTCCTGTGCAAGTTTGTTCTTGTCTTCTGCCCTTATTTTTTCTAATGGGTTGTCTTTTCGTTAATAGATCTGGAGGAATTCTTTTTTTTTTTTTTGCGGTACGCGGGCCTCTCACTGCTGTGGCCTCCCCCGTTGCGGGGCCCAGGCTCCGGGCGGCTCCCGGGCCCAGCTGCTCCGCGGCACGTGGGATCCTCCCGCACCGGGGCACGAACCTGCGTCCCCTGCATCAGCAGGCGGACTCTCAACCACTGCGCCACCAGGGAAGCCCCTTAAATATTCTTGATAGTTATCCTTTGTTGATTATATTTGCCGGATATATCTTCTCCTATTTAAGTCATTAATTTACCTGGAATTGGTTGTTTATGGTGTGAGGTAGATTCCAGTTTTCTTTCATTACATTTTTTGGAGGCGAGGGAGTTGTACAGTTGTTCCAATAACCACTTAATCGTCGTCCTTTCTTCATTGAATAGTATCTATAGAACAGTTTTGGGTGGAAGAATCGACAGCATGTGCCCTCGTTTTAAAGTGATGCATCTAAATTTTCACCATTGAATGCAGTGTTTGTTATAGGTTTGCTTTACCCTTTAAGGAAATTCCTTTTTGTCCTAATTTTCTTAAAAAGGTTTGAAACTTGCATGGGTGCTGAATTTTATTAAATGCTCTTTGTTTAGCTCCTGAAATGATTCTATAGTTTTTCTCCTTCAATCTGTTAATGAGGGGAATTAATAGCTTTTCTAATGTTTAACTACTCTTTCATTCCTAGGATAAATCCAACTTGGTCTGTGATAATATTATCTTTTTTTTTTTTTTTTTTTGGGTGGTACGGGGGCCTCTCACTGTTGTGGCCTCTCCCGTCGCGGAGCACAGGCTCCGGACGCGAAGGCTCAGCGGCCATGGCTCG